AGGAGAGAGAGAGGAGGAGAGAGAGAGAGAGAGAGAGAGAGAGAGAGAGTGTGTGTGTGTGTGTTTAAAAAAAAACATTAAGCAAAACAATGATGAAGATTTCATCCATTGACACAATAGGAACCGGTGTTCCTTTACAAAGGAAAGCTGAATTGTCTAAGCAGAAAACCAACTAAATAGAAACTTTAAGGGCAAGTTGAAGAATGAATAAAACCTGCATTTAAATGAAACCAAATAATTCTAGAAAATATTAGGAAAGATGTTTATCAAAAACAATACTGAAAGAAATTTCATTATTCACCACTTTACAGGACATTCATTTAAAAGTTCAGTAGATAAGTAGTACAAGAGTCCTAGGGCCAAATTCTAGTCTCAATGAAATCCATAGCAAAATCCCCAGGACTTCAGTGGGGCCAGGATTTGTTCATATGCATCAAGTACTATACAAATGATTTACAGAGCTGGCTTTTCTAAAACCAAATACCACACAGTTACAATAAAGGTGAATCTCTCTCTTTCAAAGTTGTATTCTGAAGCTGATTTTCTATAAGACATTCTCATTCCCACATCACTTACTATGCAAAGCTTAAAACACAATTTTTCAATCACTGAGCATTGTGTTTGCAGGTGGAATTTATCCAGATATCTCTGGAAGCACTTTTCCTCTTTATGGCTTTCTCCCCTTTCCCCAAATACTACCTCCATTGGGGCTGTTTCATTATTCATACTGCATTTATTTTGTAATAAAACTTGGCTTTCCCTAGTCATGAATAAGACAGTTAACAGGCAATGGACAAGATTCTTTACTTTAAAACAATGCATGTCTACGTAAACAAAAGTTCTAGATCAAATATGGATGACTGCCACTTTTTGCTTTCCGTGAAGCATTACAAGTGACAACATAAAATTGTTTCTGGTTTTTCAGTCCAAACATCAAAGATAAAAATGTTTTAAATATATCTGACAAGTCAAAAATAAAACTACTACAAAACTACTCCCAGGAATGACTGGGAATTTAAAACAAATAGAAAAAAATAGAGCTCTATTTATTCAATATTACTCCTCTGTTTAGTTATGAATATAGGGGAGGAAGAAATAAATGCTATTATAGACACACCATTTTTCCTTCCGTAAATACAATGCAAGTCTGTATTATCATCATGCAAATTCAAATTGCATCTCTGAGTCCTGACCCATCATATTGACCACGGAAAGAAACTGATACCTACGCAAAAGGGAAGAGGGGATTTGTTCAGAGTTTATAGGGAAACGTTAAAGAAAAAAGCTGAAAGAGATTTTTTTTTTTTTTAAGTTGGAAAAGATCAGAACAAGTGATTCCTCTTCAAATCCTAATCACAGCTTGGGGAGCTAACCCCTTCTGATGTTCCCAGTCTGCTCTGACCACCTTCCTGGTGAATGAAAGCTGCCAGCAGCTTTTTAGCTCATTGCCATTAGGTACTGGATCCCACCTGCCAAGTAAGGTGATGTGCCAGATGTGAGCAGGTAAAGTATCTGGAACTGCTTGCAGAAAGCACAATCAATTAAAAAAAGTCCCCGGAATGACTCATCTCAGTGGAAACATGACTAAAAAAAAGATATGGAAAAGAAGAGGCATAGGACCAGAGGGAGAACTAATGACTGAAATGTAATCAGCGTGGGGGGAAGCCTCCCCTGTGGGTTCCTCCGCGGCCCCCTCTGAATCCACCCCTTTCGCCCCGGAAATTAGTTCTATTCCTCTCTCTGCCTCTTTCTCCCCGGCCAGCTGAAGTCCCGCCTCTTCCTCCTCCCCTAGGAGCTCCACCTCCTCGGTCCGACTTGGATTTTGGAGGTGGTGACTTAGGTCGAAGTCGCTCAATCTCTTCTGTACAACCAGTCAGATGGGAATTTGGAGCAGTGAAGTAGGAGGCATAGGTTTCTGCATTAAAGTTACTGTTTGTGAGGGTGGGTCCCACAGTCAGCCAGCCTAAAGAAAAAATAGAAGATAAAAAGTTAGCAAGAGCAGCAAACTGAATTTTATGCTTTAAGGACAAACTCATTTTTTCTTAACATCTTCATGTGGATGTTGGCTAAAGCTCTGAGTTGATAGCAATGTTTTCTGAAAAACAGTTTTGTTAGGTCTATAAGAAGCAGCCAGCAATGAACCCTTCTAAAAAAAAAGTGCATGGGAAAGTTGCCAACTTGTGGAAATGTGAACATTTCAGTTTGAAATTTACACTGGGTTGAGTGACAAGGCAGGTGAGGTAATATCTTTTATTAGACCAAGTTCTACTAGTGAGAGAGACAAGCTTTCGAGATCCAGAGAGCTCTTCTCTTTCATCAACAGAAATTGATCCAATAAAAGATATTACCTCACCCACGTTGTTTCTCTCCTATCCTGGGACAAATACAGCTACAGCAACACTGCAAGCAACTTGGTTGAGCAGGCATCTATGTGAATGCATAGTCCTTAAATTGACTAGTTTACATAAGAATGAAAATACCACTCAGGGAAAATGAAGTTACCAGAAAGATATTCAGGTTTAAGTGTGTACTGTACCTCATGACACTATATAAGTGGTCCACTATTTTACCCACTGAAGAGAATTCCTGGAAATTGAACTTCCAGTTATATATCACTTACTAATGAGAAAGACAGGGTTTAGTGGACTGAGTGCTAGCAACAAGGAACAAATTAAAATCCAGGCTCTAATACTAACTTCCTGACCTTTGCCAGGGTCAACTAAAACTTTGCATCACTCCCCCCAGCTCCCAACTTTAAAATAGGGAATAAAAATAATGGGTTAGGTTTACATCCATCAGTGTTGTGAGGATTTGTCAGCAGTTGTTTGCAAAGCATTCTGAAGATGAAAAATACTACTTAAGTGCTAATCATCACTGACGAGCAAAAGTGTGCTCTGCCAACTTTTGTCATTGCCTGAACAAACAAAAGAGAGGGGCCACTGTTATTCTACTGAGCTAATCATATTGTAATTAAGTGTACAATACAGTTCCAAAGAACATGAGGGCCTGTCACTAGCTTAAAATACAGAAGCAGCCCAGTAGGTGAATATAACATGAGATTAACAAAGTTATGTGAATCTCTGCAGTACAGTCAAAAGAAGCCTCAAAGGTGAAATGTTCTCTCTCTCCCTCAAAGACATGTAACAAATGAAATTAAGACCGAGAACACCATCTAGAGAACAGTGGAAGGCTGACTAGATATAACAGAAGCTGGTTAGTTATATATGTAACATGTTACTGGAGAAGCCAGACTACACTTTTGGAGTGTAATGTTTGCAGTTGTGGTATCATTCTCCTTCCCATCCCAAATGGACTAATTTTGTTTTTATAATACAAGCAAGCCTTAGCGCTCTTACAAATTGCAAAGCATAACATGTCTGCGTAGTGTAACGCACTTCCCTAGTTTAGTCAAAATTAGTTACTCCCATTTACTGCAACACATTGTTTTAATAAGAAAGCTACTTAAAAAGAGACCATAGCAATTGAGATCACAGCTTTGGAAGTTCCCTCACAAATATGCATTTTCTTTTTAATAAATGTGTTACAACCCTGAACGTGTTTAATATCCAAAGCTCATACTAATGGGATACACAATCTTAGCACAGTCATTAACCAGGGGATGACATTCAGTGAGTAACAGCCTGAGTCAGCTGATTTTAACTATCTTAAAAATTGCCAGATGGCAACCATTCTCTGGCAACTACAATGCTTTTTTAAAACCAAATAAAGTTAGATTGCCAAAATCCACTTTGTATTAGGCCCTATAAGGTTAAAATAGCATCTACTAGTATTGCAAAACTTGGTAACAAGTGTGCATGAGAATGAATTCTACTCTAAATCAATATGTTTTTCCTAGTGAAACTGCATTTCATACAGGAAAGCGCCCATGACAGAAGAAATGTGCAACACTTTAGACTGAAAGTAACCTCAGAAGGTCTGATGCATGCACTGGTACCTTCTAGACGAGGCAAGCAGTGAACGTTGTAGTTTTAGACTTGGAGCCAATACAGGGACGTGTCAAATTGCTGGCAATGCCATTCAAGCTCACATGGCTATTCAAGGTAAAATAGTTTTCAGGAAAGAAGCCACACATAGCTCATGATTCTGACAAGGTGTAAAAGGCCATCATAGCAGTCAAAGTATTTTATCTGACATTAGCTCAGCAATAACGAGGAAGAAAATTTAGAGCTGATGAGGACGTCTGATGTATGATAAAAGAAAGGCATTTCTCTCCCTCTAAAAGCAACGGCTGCCACAGACTTTCCAGATTCAGCTGCTTTTTAACGATTGCTTGGTTGGTGATGTGGGAGGAAATCTGTTCTTAATTTACTTGAAATCTATCACCTGACCTGGGACACATCTGTCTAAAAAGCTCTTTAGGATATTCACACAGATTAGAATTTATAACCAGCAGCGAGTGTTATTTTCTGCCTTGCAGATGATAAAGACATTCACTTTCCAAAGCTGCTATGGAGTTTGCTCTATTTCTTTTTTGAAATGAAGTCTAACAATAGAGGAATGACATATCAAAATGGCTTTAAAAGGTATAACGTGTTTTGATTTTCCAACTGAGAGCCTGAACAGTTTAAGCACAGACACATTATACTAAACAGCTAGTAGAAAAAAAGCTTGTAAACCTGAAGTTATGGCATTTTGTTCATTTTTAAAAGTAGACAAATATCTGTACATTTATAAAAGACAACTTACTAGTAGGCAGTGCTAAGCTGGATTCTTGGTCTGTCACTGTACCCCTCACTGGTAGACACATGAGCAGCAGCAGAAGTTATAACCCTAGCAACAGAATAACCTCCATACACAACTCCAGCAAGGGAGGGGAAGGTACATCCCTTTGTTTGTGTGTATACTGTTCCATCTATAGATGCACACCCTAATCTGCTTGCAAGTGCCTCTCCTATTCTGATCAGTAAGGGCGAGGGGGGGGGTGCAATAGCCCACAACTAAAGCCTTGGCTACACTCGGGACTTCACAGCGCTGCCGTGGCAGCGCAAGTGTAGTCGCGCTGCCAGCGCTGCGAGAGAGCTCTCGCAGCGCTGTATGTACTCCACCTCTCCGAGGGGAATAGCTTGCAGCCCTGCGAGCGAACGTGCAGCACTGCAGGCACTGATTACACTGGCGCTTTACAGTGCTGTACTCGCTGCACTCCGGGGGGGGAGGCGTTTTCACACCCCTGAGCGCAGCAAGTTGCAGCGCTGTACAGCGCCAGTGTAGCCACGGCGTAATACTAGGGCACAATTCCTACGCTTCTTCACTGCTGGCAGAGTTCCCCAAACATGGCAAGTGGTGGAATTATCCCCCCATCCCCACTCCACAGCGACTAGAGTGGAAGTCTTGTTTGCAAGGTGGAAGTCCTCTGTCCAATGGATCCCTATGTCCTCCTGCTGAATGAGCTCCATGTTGGAATCACCACCAAGAAATTTACTGTTGGCCACATGGCTTCTTTCAGTCAGATAAGGATTACTGAAATCCCTTTTATTGGACTCTAACGTTAACATGGTGTCTGTGACTAGTACAGACCTTGGCAATATAAATGTACATTAGACTAAATTCTATTTTGCGTCAATGTTTTCTCTCTGAACTCATGAAATTCCATTTTATATGGAAGTTATGAAGGGAAGGGACAATTGGATTAAGTGAACTTTCACCTATTTCATAAAATAAACAGAACATCTACCTGGTCGGATTGTACTATCTCTTCCAAAAAGATGAAGGCGTCTTCTTCCAAGGCAGAAGTGTTCAATGATGTGAAAAATCTCTACAGGTTTTTCTATGTTGCCAATCTCAGGCTCTTCTGTGATAATTAAGTCAATATCAACATTAGCATGGATGAAGTCACCATCTGTACTGCGGCGGACTGTTCCTTTAATACCCATAAGGCAGTGTTCCTAGACAGAACAAAAAAAATTATGCAGGGTGTGTCATCCTGAAAAATTCTAAAGCCCATTACAAACTACATATGTACAATGCAATCATCTCTGGATTTTGAGAACTGACTAGTGCACACCACAATAAAGTGTAAAAAATGTTCTAGCAAAAGCCACATGGCAAACTCTTATCTTTATGATAATTATATAGGACTGACCCAATATGAACTGTTTTTAAGGTCTTATCCAAAAGAATGGAACAAACAGCAAAGGTGCCAAAAACCCTTCTAAAACAATGAGAAAAGAGATCCTAATTTAAAGAGTTTCTGATTGTGGTCCATTTTCTGAAAGTCACACAGTGCTGCAAATCAAATTATTCACAGTCTGAAATAGGAATTTATTATGGATTCTAAAACTGTTTCAGATTACTACTAAAAGGGCAGAATCATGAAGAGGTCTAAGGTGGAAAAGGGTCCTTAATAGATTATTTCCTGAATCCATTACAGTGCAAGCTGGTGCTACAAACAGTACGCAGTCAGATAGCTCAATATTTTTTCTTCTTCATTTTATTATGCACTGGCACAAACATTAAATAAAATCATGATGTTAAGGTAACTTGTGAAAAAAAGTTTCCAAAAGTTTGCTCCTTTATGGCCATGAAAGAATCAATCAATAGAAATAAGAGTAACAGCTGGTCCTTTACAAATTTCTTTTCATAGTATGCCTTTTACAAAGCTGGTCTCCATCCACCAATTCCTTCCTGATAGCCACCAAAGTATACTAAAAAATAAAGCCAGTGTAAAGTGATCAGTGCAGTTTGAATCAAAGAACAGTATAATGCTTGAATTAAATGAAACAAGCACTATGTTTCTTTTCCTTCTATAACATAATAGGAAGTGACCAACAGAGGATCTACTAATGGGGAACCTCCTTACTGGACATGAGAGGAAATGAGGGCTGTGCATATTAATGTCAGAGTTCCGTTTTTGTGAGTACTACATTCCAATGAGCAATTTTCCTCAGATCATAAAACACTGATTTACTAAGCATCACCAGATGGTTCTCAAAAATTGCAGACAGTGTATAATTATTTCCAGATTTTTGGCAGAATGGCTAGAGGTTAGAGAGCGACTGTGAAAAAGTAAAGAAAAAAGTGATCTATCCAACATACTGATCTTACAGACAGCATGCAAGTTTTAGGTTTCATCATTTCTCAGACAAATATTCAAGCAGAATAGGATGGAGCACAGAAAATCCCTAGGCAAATCACCCATCAGGCCAAGACTGATAAACCTGGTGGTTACCAGCATATCAGTGAAAAACAATCTTTCTAACATAGGGAATATGGTTTATAAATGCCTCAGGTTTACATTACATTTAAGTGATACAACCTCCATCAAGAGACTAACTTCTTGTCTTAAGTTTTGACACTTGATACTGTATAGAAATATTATCAGTGAATATCCCCTTCTTCACATTTGACAGAGAATATGAACTTGGCCATCTGACAGATCAGAATAAAAATGGCTCCAATTTCCAACATATTCTTGTTATATAACCAAGTCTGACACCAACTTCATACCAAATTCACATATACACAACATTACACAGGCAAATTCTCAGTTACCAGAATCAACAACCTAATTCCTTTGACAAAACTACATGAACCTTATCTCCAATGTAAATAAAACCATTATTTTTATTCATGAAAAAGTTGTAAAATATCTGGCCTTTAACCACCATACACAATAAATAATATACACCCACACCTACCCATATTTACGTTAGACAAGCATATAAAGGACTGGTCCAAATCCCATTTAAGTCAAAGAAATAGAAGTTGGATCACAGCTAAAATAGTAACAATCATTGAGATTCTGCTTAATGGTCTAAGTATACCAATTTGGCGATCAGGTTAGTGAAATTTTAAATTGTTATAAGCCAGGAATGGAGACACAGCTCCCTATAATCACTAAAACAAATCTGTTCCGATTACTATGTTAAATGAAATATCCTAAAACAGTCCCTAATGACTGTGGCCTATTTATGATTACCACTACAACTCTCACATAATATGTTGTTAAGCTTTCTAACCTACAACCTACTCTTACTACACTACTCATTCAAATATGCATCAAGTAAATATTTAATTTGAACCAAAGTTTGTTGTGCATGCATATGCAGTGAAAAGCCTCTTCCTTTTAGGACACTGGGAGATAGTTGTTATACAGCTGTAGTCCTTAAGGTCATGTTCTTTAAAAAAGTAGAAGAGCATGCCTGTGTATGTTTTTCAAAAACATTTTTACTGTCAAAGTTAGATTAGTAATGTGCCTTTACAGTGCCCATGTCAATTTATAATTGAAAGCTTTAAATGTTAAAATAAACATTTTAAAATAAATAAATACTCAAGTTCTATAATCAAACTAAGTAATTTAATCAAAAGCTGCTCTTCCCAAAAAACCTGTTGCCATTCTGAGTTTGAAGGAAGTTTGTTTCTAAGCAACTGGTGTGTTCCAGAATTAAATAAATCAGTTTCTACACAGGACTAATCTAAATCCCAGCCCAATTTCTATCTGTCATTTGAGCAAGTAATGAGGGAAAACATTTGTGAAGCCAGCATTTGCTCATGCAACATGTATCATTTACATTTCAATAGAGGTTTTTAAAATCTGACAACCAACTCTACCAACAGGTAGGCACAATGAAAACAATACCAAATTGTATCCAGCTTTCATCATCTCCCTGCAGGCTGATAGAATGGGAAAGCATTTCTATGAATCCTCTTTCCTGTCTATCTGCATTTCAGTGAGACTTGAATGAATAAGAACATTCAGAAGATCATAAAAGAACTTCATAAAGCAACATTAAATGTGAATGATTGTATATTTAATCAAATTGAGTAAAAAATCTAGAATCGGTGAAAAATTAATTACCCATTCTGTGAAAATCAATTTATGCAAGAAAGCAAAAGAAATCTAAAATCCTAGCACCTATTTTTCTGAAACCACAAAGGCCACCAATTGCAATGGAGCATCTGGTGTTTGTTTAGATCCGTGAGTCTCAAACTTTTTTTTTTTTTACTGGTGACCCCTTTCACACAGAAAGCCTCTTGAGTGCGACCCCACCCCCAATAAATTAAACTCACTTTTTAATAAATTTAACACCAATATAAATGCTGGAGGCAAGCAGGGTTTGGGGTGGAGGTTAACAGCTCGCAACTCCCCATGTAATAACCTCATGACTCCCGGAGGGGACCCAACCCCCAGTTTGAGAATCCCTAGTTTAGATCAACTGAGGAGGGAAGAGAAAAATTCAGCCAGAGCTGTACCTTTGTTCTTTGGAAAACAGCTTTAGGGTCCAGAGTCTTGGTCTTTCCAGGATTGTTTTTATTGGTTTTAATCCAACAAATATCTTCACATCGTCTGTAACCCCACTTGCGTAGACACTAAAATATTTCAAACAAGAATGGTCACAAAGATAAAAGATGCTTGCATGATATCAGATACTGGAACAATGTATTTAAGAATTAAGATTGACTTTGTAAGATGTAATAGGTTTGTCTTCTGTGCTTGTTTGAAGGAGGGGTCAATCATCAATATATGAAACACTTATCTTCACACTTTTATTTTAGCCATGTTCTGAAATCAAGTTTCCAAGCATAGTTTGCATTCACACTATCTGGCTGTGTCTATATCACCCTTTTCTGGAAGTCTCACATCATCTCATTCTGTTTGGTGCAGCTCCTCTGGAGCACTAGTGTAGCTGGATACTGGCGTTTTTACCTCTGTGACAACGACTTTGCTCAGAGCAGGTCTAAACGACACAGTGGTGAAAATACGTGCAGCTGCTTTAGTCCCATCTACAGCAATGCTCCCATTGTTGCTACCACTGGTACGGCTGCATTGGTAGTTCAACAGTGGGAGACTGCACAAAACCAAATGTGAACAAGGACACAATGTTTACAAGTGCTATAATAGCTCTCTTTAAAAACTGTTCCAAACCTGCTTTCGAGGGAGGAGTTGGTGGAGTCTAATACCCAGTGTCTGCTAGCACAGACTGAGAAAAACCCTCTACTCTGAAACTGTGCTGACTATTTATCACATTTGAAAACTACTCAACTAACATGATTTTGCTTCAATGTGACCAGAAGCAAGTATGCAGCAAAAGTTATTCAGTGAACCTGTATCAAAAGATACAAAATAAAATGTACTGTATAGAAAGAAATGAATGTCCACATACTGCCCTTCAATTGAATACAGAACATCTCAATGGCCTTAACCTCTCCCCCCGTTCAGTACAATTAACTGAAACAAACATAGCTACTCTGTTCAGCTAAATAAGCTACGCTGTAAGAGAGATGAAAGAGATTTTAAAGCTCACACACACAAAAATTACTGCATAACAATAAAACTGTCATGCTCTAACTTTATACAGCTCACTAAAAACATCATTAAGAGCCTATACTCAACCGGTTTTAAAAAATAAGAAGTCTAACATGTAAGAGTTTATCGTAGTAGTGATATGACGACACTGGTGCCATCCTGAAAACGTTCACTGAAAAGCACACATTCTGCTGGGATTTGTTTGGATTTCTGTACAGACAGTGATATAATCACCTAGAATAAGGCATCCTACTCCCACAGCAGCCACATACAAACTAGAGATAAAACAGTAATGTAGCTCTTTGGAAACCACAGATTTATTCATCCTCAGATATTTACAGCTACCCATAAGGAAAATAAGTATCTAAAGGATTAATGCTGGATTAATTTCCCCTCTGTATCGCTCACAGTAACAAAAAGCCCTTCATTTAAAACTGAGGAGTCTATGCACAGAAGAGAGACCATCACAGCTTTCTTGAGTAAACTTTTATTTTGTCTCAGCCTAGGTTTAGTTTAAAAGATGTTCTTACCACTCTGCCAAGATCCAGACCCTCCCCTGAGCCACACCACAGAAAGACAAAAGACCTTGAGGCTGCAATCTCTTCAATTTCCAGTTTCATAATCTACAAAAACAGAATGGAACAATGTTAAAGGCTTTCTGAATTAAGATTTTGTTTAATATATGTGGTATGGTCACAGATTATATCAGGAACAACATCTGTATGTTTAACATTGCCACGGCAACCTTAAGAATACATATTTCTGGTGTTTATCTAGACCCTCATTCTCTTCACTGGTGACCCTTCAAATACATTTGCTGGAGAATGGATTTTAAATTATTTTAGTACCCAATCAGTGCCATCCATTTCCACATGTTCTGTTACTCTTCACACTGACCTGGGCCTTATATGGCAATCAGAACATTTTAGAACAGTGGTCCTCAGTTTAAACCCAGAAATACTCTGCTTCACTTATCTAAAACTTGTCACAAGACCTAGCCAATGCATAGTCATTTATATGAGAGGCATTCCTTTCATTTCCAGGTTTAAATAGAAAAAAGTCTCAAGATTGAAACAAAAGTAACATTTAGAGTGAACCAACTTCAGATGTAAAGACTATCAGCTGCATGCAGGTTGAAGGGATTCATCTGTAACTTGCTAATACATCAAACCAAGTCTCATTTACTGCAATGGCAAAAAATAATAATGCAACAGGAACTACTGCAAGATAAAACAGTGAAACTTATAACAAGTTGCTCTCCTTGTACACTTTGTTTTTCCTCTAGATTATTTGATGTGTTATGTTTCTCAACTGCTTCAACTTTTTTCTTACTGAATCCTAATATGGAAATCTATCATCATGGGTATGGAACGACTGTTTCAAACCCATTCATGACAGATGGATGCAAGTTTGCGTTACCAGTTGCTTGTTATTTTTGCCTTTCACGTGTGCCCACTGAACATCTCCACGTGCAGACTGGTCTGTGGCTCTATGTCTGAACAGAAGCCATAGCTGTGCTCTTAAGTCATGACAAACAACTGAGATGGCCACGGGTGTGTAAAATTAAATGACAAGGCACTGGAGTAACAGAACTAAGCCCCAAGACCCCACCGATTTTCCTCGGGAGGTTAACATATGGGATAACTGAGGGGAAATGACGTAGTTCAGAACTAATTGAGATTAGAACAAGGTGATTTTCTTCTTCAATATGTTGGTGATGTGATTTTCTTCGTCATTAACTTTGAGTGGAGGGCATTTTAAAAGTGTATTTTATGTCTAATTTTCCTAGTGCTAACATTGGCAGAGTGCATACGTTTAAATAAAATAAATACTACAGTAAACATGACCTGCAAAAGGTAAAAACTGGATTTATATAATTTTTTGCTTCTTTCCAGATATAAAGTCTGGAAAGTTTTATCAAGGCGTTTCCTTCTTTGTTTTTTACATTAGAAACTCTGTTCTTGTCTATCTTGGAAAAGTCTCTGGGGACTTGACATTTAGTAAAAATGGCATAAGAGAAACAACAATTAAGGGGAAGAATTTTTAATCAGACTTTTCAAAATTATGGCGGGCTTTGGTTGCTTTCTGTTAATACCTATTTAACTCCAGTGCACAATGAACACTTGGGAGAAAGGATGTCTGTTAAAGATTCAATTATTGCACCTCTTCAAGTAAGGAGCAAGTGATCCTAATACACATCTGAGACCTCCCTAAGAAGTCCTCTGGCAAAACCAGGAAAGACAAGACTGGCTATTCCTAAGATTTCTAAGGTTAAAAACAAGCAGCAAAAATGAAGGGTTTTTTTGGGTGTGGGGATTGTTTTAAAAACCCTTTCAGGCCTTCTTTATACATCATGATGGGCAAAAAAGGACATAAGCCTAGTTATCAAGAAACACTTTGAGAGTCACCTTTAACAATTTAAGTGTGTACATACATACATATATATACACATATATACACACACATATATATATATATATACATATACACACACACATACCCCACCTTAGTTTTTACAACCTCACTTTTCTCAAACAAATCCTATGTAAAAATGCTTTACACCCAAATCTACACTTCAATCTATTTTATAAGGCATTTACAAAAACTTTTTGCATAGTAAGAAAGAAAGCTTACATCATCCCAAGTCCAGCACTTTTCATTGGCTGTGATGCCAGTCTCTCTATAGTATTCTTCCAGGGGAGGTTCCAGAAGAATCACATCAAATTTGGACTTTAGTTCTCTAGTGTCAAAGGCCTCCAAGTCTGCTTGTAAATACCTATTTAAAGAGATAATAAACTATGACAAATTGCTTGGAGAAGGTAGAACTACAGTTCCCAAATTCCCACTTGAAGAGCACTTGCTGGGGATCAGTGGAAAGAGGTCTCTCCTCTTGGTTTCCAGGGGCTACAATGCATTAAATACATGTAAAAATACATTAAAGTTACCTTGAACATAAGCAAGTGCTGTAGTGACTACACGGATTTTGTGGAATAATGAACAGGAGAGTAGAAGGTTCCCAAATGTGGTCTACACCATTACACTATAAAAATCCAATACAACGAAACTAATTACACTTTCAAAGAGGAGTCCTTTTAAGACACATCAATAAGGATTGAGGGCTAGCAAGTAGGAAAGAGGGCTGGACAACTGTCCATACATTATCTGGTACAGCATCAAGGTACAAATCATTTACATGGAATGTTTTTGAAAAATATTTCCATTTAGGAAAGAAAAAACAGTTGCTGTTCAGCTATGATTGATTGGGGGTGGGGGGGAACAGTATATATAAAGTGACAAATGGCAATGCTAAAATATATAGTTTCTATCTGCACTATATGAATTCTATATATATGGAGACCAATTACATTCTACATATTGGGAATGCAGTTTTAAAACACTATTAGAAATTTTGCTTTTAGCAAGCTATTTCTGGGACTCAAATGTCAGATTTAATACTTGTTCTGATTTAATACTTGTCCCATTTCCTGCTCACGTATAGCCTATCCTCCTCACCAGTTGCTAATTACTGTTCTATCTCTGTGAAAAATTAAATCTACAATATTATGAGAGTCTTGCTAGGTTTGATTTATGGAATAATATCCCTCCTGGCCATATCTACGAAGTTTTGGTTGATCTATTTAGGGAATGCCAGTTGGATTTTACCCATTTTTGTATTAGTGAGACAAAGAGTGATGGCAAGCAAAATGCTACCATAATCTTAGAACACCATGATTATTTTATTCTTTATTAGCCAACAACTAACATTAACACGTGTACCATCTTCACTAGGTTTCAAGGTTAACAACATACTGAGGTAAAAGACGGTAGTTCATATTACTCGGCTCTTATTTTGGAACCAACTGATTTCAATCAAGCTAATTGGATAAATAAGGAGTACAGAAAATTACTCTTTCTAGATACAGAATAAGCCAGTACAATACTGTATTGGTCCACATTCATGAGGTTCAAGCATATGGGTAGAAAAATAGCATATTTTAAAATACAACTGAAATTCTGCAGGAACTGGGAGAAAACAAAAGTTCTAACATGCTATCTCACACAAGATACTTATTGTGAGAACAACATTTTCACAATATTTTGGCCACAGAATATTGAATAAAATGTCAAATTTTCTTTAAAAAGGTTTTCTTGTGGTTTGAAACTACATTGTTCTAGGTCAAGCTTTTTCATACATATTTCTCCTTTTTGGCTGCCAGATGTATGTTTACATCCCAATGAGGCTGAAAGCACAGTCTACAAAAGAAAAAATTTTCAGGCTTCATAAACCATCATGCTCTGATAAGAAAATCTAATTTATATACAGACATCAATTAAACACTAAATTAAATTATCCAAAATAAAATGGTTGCATTCTATTTAGGATTCAGATTTAATTTAGATTCACAAACCAGAAATAGAAAGTGTAAATCTTAAACAGGTGCTGAAAGATAAAAAGATTTGTGGAGCAGACAGCTAACATTAAGAGAGTCTGGAGAGCAGAAACCAGTTTCTAACAAAAACACTTACATTGGGGGAGTGTTAGATTTAGATATTAGTTCGTCCTTTAGTCTGATGAGCTCTCTAAGTTTGGGATATTCTTCAAACCTGTCTGCTAAGCCTGAGGAAAATAAGAAAATTTGTTAATTTTCAATCTGTTCTGTGAGAATGAAACCTGTACAGACAGCCAGCAGACAAACCCAACAAGTATTCTGAAGTAGAGTCAGATATTTTAGTAACGCCCCATATTTACAAAGAACACAACCACCACCCTCTTCAACACAATCAACAACCCGTTCAGGTTACCCCAGTACTTTATAAAAGCCTGCTATCCTCATTCAGTCACCTATCCCCAAACTTACTCAATATTCCAATGCACTGAACTTCTCTACAATAATAAAGTGTAGAAATATTAGAAAAGATTATGAATAACATCTTGTCCAAAAGTCTCCAAATTTTTCTAGAAGCCCATGATTCACTTTTGCTCAAATTAATTTGGGCAAAAGAAATACGTAGGAGAGTTGTTTTATGTTTTTTTCTGTAATTTTAGTTTAAGTTTATTAAGTATACTAAAGCAGGGTGCACACAAACATTTTATGGTAACAAATATATATTAAGCAACAGAGGGTCCTGTGGCACCTTTGAGACTAACAGAAGTACTGGGAGCATAAGCTTTCGTGGGTCAGAACCTCACTTCTTCAGATGCAATATATATTACTGTCTCCAGAACAACTGTTTGACCTTTAAAGACTACTTTTAATAGGAAACTGACTGCGGCTGGTCCCTTGGGCAGTCACTTAATCCAGGTTTAATTGTAACACTACCAGACTTGCATACACAAAAGTTTCATAGAAGTTTTCATTTCTTAATTACTTAATTTTAAAAACCTGTATCAGAAAGGCATAATTTTGGCTCTGGTATGTGTAAAACAGATACCCGGTTATGCTCTTAGCATTTAAACACTGGCTGTGAGCACTGCTCCCTATGATCCCCCTCCAACCAAAAAAAAAAAGTTAAATGGAAATATTTTTGTAAATCCTAGTAGTACCCTAAGTATGAGAAAACAAAAAGATCCTGACGTAGTTCCCTCCCCCAAAGGAATATTAGCTCAACTTTAGGAGTGACCTGCAAAGCTTTTCTTTTTTTAATTTGTCCACTTTGTCAGCTTATGAGATTTGGAAACCATAAAGATTTATTTTATTACTTTATTTTTTTAATCAAAATTCTTGTCCTGATTATTTTAATTAAGAATAGTGGCTCTGGCCCCTGCCTCCAATTTCATGGAAAAATTGGTGTCAGAGGTTCTTAAGCTCCACCACAGCTGACATTACAGCTATTTGTATCCAATGAAATGCAAATAGTATCTTTATTTCCTCTCACACACATACTTTATTTACACATTGCATTAAAACAGTTATGTTTTTAGTTACAGCTGATATTTTGTTGCCTTCCAGCACAATGCGTGTGGGAGGTGGAAAAGCCAAAAACTCAGACAGTAGGAACTCAAACCAGCGGAGGGCAAAGGGGTATTTCCAAAAGATGATTTTCAAGGATGAATAAGAGACTATTTAAAAAATTAAAAGTGATGGATACTAAAATAAAAAAAAAGACAGGTTCTATCACATCAGGAGATAAAGTTGATCTTGCAATAGAAGGAATCAATGGAAATGAACCGGTGCTGCTGAGTCACCCTGTAACTTTCAACAGAGATATATCAAGAAGTTACTGTCAGGGTTGCATCTAAAAATACAGTGTGGGTCTACATAGATGTTTAATATTCAGTTAGTAACTATGATCAGCTAACAGTGCATCATACCTATCAGCTGCCTCGTATGGCACACAACTGTCTTCTTGTAACTGGCTTAACATATTTGTTTCAGAAACAACAGGACACCACAATCATGTCCGTGTAATCAGTTTAGCCAGTCCGCCTTCCTCCCAGCTCCGCAGGCAGAGTGTATTGCCTCTCATGCTGTTGCGTGCATATCCTCTGGGCACTCAATTCCCAGCTAGCACTATGAATACCTGCCTAGAGTTGATTAGAAGGATTGTCCAATGGTTAGGGCAGTAGCCAAGGAACAGAGAACCAGGTTCAAAATATAATCCTTTTTCAAAATAAATCTGTTTAAAGTGAAATCTGAATTTAACACAAATCAAATTATAGTCTCTTAAAACATTAAAATAAAAAACAAATATGATGAATCCATGAGCCTCTATCAAAAGCTTTGAGTCAAAGGCCACTTTTATATATAAAGAACCACAGGGAAAACATCTAACCTTTGTCAAGCTTTATAACTATGACCCAATAGGTCATGTATTGTATTAAGTAAGGGCTTTATCCTGTGGGGGAAACAGGGGCTATACTACTGACTGCAAGAGACTGGCAAAGTTATCACAGGCATTCAGACCCAGCCACTGACTCCTGGAGACACTATCATGTATCCACTGAACCCATCTGTGTTGTCTCATTGTCCTATTTTATAGCTTCTCCCGACCCGAGCTTGACTGGTTCAGTTCTTAAATTATGAATATTTATGACTCCACCCATCATAGAAACTTACTCTCCGGTTCATGAAAAAACATTGATCTGCCCATTAACTACCAGACCTTGCTTCTGGATGGTTCTGGGCACTTCCAGTAAATAGCCTTGTTCTGTCTCCTTGCATGTGTACACAGACAAAGATACAAATAAATAGAATTCCATTAATTTCTCAACTAACTCCTTCACTGTTGCTAAACAAATAAAATACTGCAATGCAAAAGGCATGATGGTTACAGGAGCTGAAGTTCTGGGTTGTTGTTAGTTCTTTTATTTCTCTGGGGATGGGGGGAGAAGAGGGGAGGGTAGTTAAGTACCACGGGAGAAGGAGAAGAGTGTGCAACCAGAAAAGAGCAACACAGGGGTCAAAGCAGAACACTATGGGGAAAAAAGGGACAATATTCCTTCAGAGAGTGTAGTCTCATGTTGATTTCAGCACCTGGAAACTGTAGGAAAAAGAACTGCCATGGCTGCAGGTCATATTTGAGAATATTTTCAAGAAATTCCCTGTACCTCTGGGTAAAAAAAGGAACACGTGCCAAATGCAAACAGTGGAACAAAGAGATGCAATGCCTGATTGTCAGAATGAAATGTTATGAAAAATCGTCCTCAGAAGGCAATGCCTTTGAAGATGATGATGTGGACATGTCTGAACAATCTGGATCAACTGGTTAGTAAACTTATTTTTGCACCATTCTTATGGAGAGCCTACCATGTCTCACAATATGAGTAAATAATTTAGACTGTCATAAATTGATGTTTAGAGTAGAATTCTTATTTATGAATTTCAAAATGTTTGCGTTCAACATATAACTGGCATGCTAGTTTATTGTGGAAGTATTTATCAATTAATGTTACTGTTGGACTTCTCAAACAATTTTTTTTATTGGTCAGTATAATCAAACATCCTAGATGAAGATTTCCTGTTTTAAATAAAAATTTTATAAGGCACTTATGAATTTTAAAATTTAAAAAAAAATGTTTTTTAAAGCTGTTTGGTACATTCCTAGAGATAAGGGTTTAAGTAGATTTATATAATCCTTATAATTTGTTAATTATTTTCCCTATAAAACTATTTAAACAAATCAGATCATTTAAACGCTAATACAAACAGCTGCAGTAGGAAGGATCTTCCATTTACAATTTCTTTTAAAGCAATGCACTGAGTAAAACTCTGAGTGAGGGACTTTATTTTACCATTTTGTTTCAGGGTCCAGCTTAGACATAGGGCTTATGAATGTCCATCATCTCCAATACCATTAACTGCAGAGCCATCCGGCTGGTACCACCAGCAATGCTGCAACTGAACATACGTCAGGCAGTACCATACCTTTATCAAAAAAGACTTTCTTCATCATCCAGTAAAATCATGGATGAGTTCATAATCAGGACTGGCAGATTCCAGCAAGTCTCCATAGATGAAAAGATTGCTTGGTTAATTTATGCATCGAATTTTCCCTTTCATCTTGTTCAGAACAAACATTTAATTGACATGGTTCAATCATTACAATCAGGCTACACTCTATTCCACAAAGTAGATATTGCTGTAAGGTTTCTGCATACGGTGTATGAGAAGGAAACTGAACAGTGTTGAGGAAAAACATTGACAGGAAATTCATTAATCTGAGTCTTGATGGGTGAACCAACGTACAAAATGATCCAGTAGTATGTGTGTGTGAGACAACAGATGATGGGGTTGTCTATCTTACAAAAACAACTAATACATCAGGAAATACCCATACAGCGGAATACATAAAAGAAGTAGCAGTAAAAGCTACAACACACTATGAACAAAAATGCAAGTGTCAAGTACATAGCTTTATCACAATGCTGCAAATGTAGCAAGTCAAGAAGAAATCGAGAAGATAATGAAGGGAACCTGAAACTTATACCATATGGGCTTAGTGCTCATTTGGTGCATCTTTTAGCCAAAGACTTAAGTACAATTCTAGGAATAAAGGAAAGTGTTGCTGAAATTGCAAATTCTTCCCTAACAACCACTTTGCTTCAATTTCACATATGAGAGCAGGAGGATCCAAACTAACTGTTCCCCAAGATGTACAATGATATTCAGTGGTTGACTGGTTTGAGCTATTTATTAAGAACAGGCCTATTCTGATGACAATTTGTGAAGAAAGTCGTGACAAAACAGATGGAACTATCACAGTCAAAATAGTCAACATCAGACTAAAGAGAAATGTGGAAGATATGCTGAAAATACTGAAAGCTTGTACAAACTGCAGAAAGATTGCTTCTGTATTGCTGATGCTGTTGAAATTTAGAAAGAACTTCCAGAGTCATTGAAGAAAGACACCCAAAAAACAACCTGCAGGCAGTAAAAAAAGGGGATGGATCAAGCACTCACTCCACCTCATTTTCTTGCCAATATTCTCAACCCAAAGTATGAGGATAGATGCCTAGCTGCTGAAGATGCAGCTGCTACGACATGGGCATTACCATCAACCATGCCAACCATAATAAATTTCAGGGCTAGAGGTGAACCATTCAAGCAGTACAATTTTCTGATGGCGTTTTAAAGAAAGTCACAGTACTGAACTGGTGGATGTCCCTAGCTAAGCACCCGGAAACAGAGTTTGTTGAAGTAAGTGCTAAACCAGCTTTTGACTGCAGTGACCTCTTCTGCAGGCACAGAAATAATATTTTCTTCATTCAAAGTTGAGAAATCAACTGGGAATTGAAAAGCAGGAAAACTTGTCTATCTCTTCCAGTCTATGAATAAAAACAAAGAGGGAGTGGTGGAGATCTACTAGATTTAAAAGTTTGAAGGACAGCCTAAGTAATTTAAGAGGCGGTTGACTCATTTTCAAGAGACTTAAGCAAGGTGGATCTTTCACTTAGGCATATTTGAAAAATTTCCCAGGTTGATCTAAATAATCAGTTTAATTCACAGACTACAGTTAATCCCTCTGTGCCTTTATTAAATCATTTAGTTGTAAATATGAAACATGTTTTAATAAGAGAAGTGTATATATCCAAAATATTAAAGGTTGTTTTGTTAATATAAAATAAATTTTATATGCTGCTTTGTGTGTTTAATTAAATTCCAGTTACCATTCTAATGAAGCTTGACACAAATCATGAGCAAAAAGTTAATTACCAATGACCAATATATCATTCATGATTTTCTAACACACTAAAAATGTACCAGTAATAAGAATCTGAAAATATTAAGCTATATAATTGCTTAAATAAATGTTCATGGTCATAGTGTACCCTCCTAGGTAGCAAAAAGATTGATCAAATCTTGAGTAAAGGCTCTATTTAGCTGTAAATCAAAATGTTTTAATGGTTATAGCAACCAATGAGATTGGATTTTCTTTAGAAAATAACCAAAGTGCAAGTGGAAAAGTTGATTAAAATCAATGAAGTAAAGCAAGACTTTTCATTTGGTGATTTAAATCACTTTGATTTGAAATCAATCCACCCTGTACTAAAGATTGTGAGGCAGTCAGATATTCCAACTGTGATGTGGGCCCAAGTATCAAAGAGATTTCCCAGAGTATACGGATATAAACAGAGCTAAACTACAAAGTAGGTGCAAAAGCATAAATATTGTTCTGATGCCTAAAGAACTGCCGCCTCGGGACAAACTGGGATGGTGCCCAGGACCCTAAGTAGTTACCAATTTGTTATTTAAAAGTTCTACATTTATTAAATTAAATATTGATATTAAAAGTTTTAAAAGCCGCAAAGTGGCAGTTTGGTGCCTATAACAAGAGAGAAAAAGGAGGTTACCAGTCTTATGTTTGCAAAGTATGAGGATCTGGAGAAATAGTTGTCCATAGACTCCTTTCACCTGATCCTCAAACAGGTTTCTTTGCTACAGAAGAACCCGACTGCATATGACAATGGTTCTCAACTAGCGTTATGCAGAGGTGTTCCAGGGGGTACATCAGCTTATCTAGATATTTGCCTAGTTTTACAAGAGGCTACATAAAAAGCACTAGCCAAGTCAGTCCAAACTCAAATTTCATACAATGACTTGTTTATACTGCTTGACATGCTATACACTGAAATATAAGTACAATTATATTCCAATCAATGTATTTTATAATTATATGGTAAAAATGAGAAAGTAAGCAATCTTTCAGTAATAGTGTGCTGTGACACTTTTGGATTTTTATGTCTGATTTTGTAAGCCAGTAGTTTTGAAGTGAGGTGAAACTTGGGGGGTACGCAAGACAAAGACTCCTGAAAGGGGTTCAATAATCTGGAAAGGTTGAGAGCCACTGGCATATGACACCTCACCAGAATAACAATGTCAATTCCATTTATTCTGTATTCCTTTTATGGCTATACAATAAGTCAGAGCAAATATCAAAGAGGCATGCTATCATTCAGTTATCTTCAGACATACAGATTATTCATTATTCTCTCTAATTGGTAAAACCGTGAAATAAGTCTTTCAAGCATATGAACATTTCATGCTGAATATAGATATACCTGACTCAGAATATGCAGATTTTCTTAGAGCACTAATCAGAGCTGTCAAGATGAATATACTGTTTATCCTGGAAAGCAGTTAATTATCTAAAACCTTTTATTTCAATACCTTATGCCAAAAGATTTTTTGAAGTGTTCAGAAGACTATGATAGTAGATTTATACTGAGGTGGCACCCAGATGTCATGATTAAGATGTGCTAAGAGCTGTACAAACACACGATCCCTTCACTGAAAATCTTACAGTCTTATAATTGGTTCAAGGTGAGATAATACATTTCAGAGATTTTTTTTTTTTAAACTAAGTTGCCATGAGACATCCATGTTGGAGAACAGGACCAAAGGATGTTATTTTAATTTTACAAACTCAAAACACAGAGCCAGTTAGCACTTACATAGCACTTTTCAAACAGTAGAGTAAATTCAGCATTGGCCTGAACATGTGAAACTACACTGACTTAAATAGTTATGCTCTTCTAAACTAGAAATGAATTTGGCCTACTAATGAATTCTCAGAATGTACTTACTTTTCAAAGTATTATTCCCATTTTATATGGAATGCACAGATGTCAAAGGAGTTCTCTGGGGCAGCACAGTGAAACCAATCACTAAACCAAGATTAAAAAACTGTCCGTGGGACCTAGGGACAGTTGATCAGTCCACTAGACCAGGGATTCTCAACCTTTTTTTCTGTAAGATCTCTCCCCCACCCCCCGCACCTCCCCCCAGCATGCTATAAAACTCCAGGGCCCAGTTTGGGGGGCAGAGAGGCCCTCAGGCATAGGTGTAGTTTGACTTCCATTGGGGTTCGGGGGAGCAAGGGCAAGCGGGGCTCAGGCCAGCTCCGCACAGTGGAGTCCACTGAGGCAACACCACCTTCACCCCGACTCTCCTCAGCAGGCCACCCAGCCTGTCCGGGTTCGGAGGCAACCAAAAATCATACCTCAAAGAGGGGGACTCAGCCCCATGGGGGGGGGGGCACCTAGGCTTTAGGATTCAGTCCCGTGGCTCCTGGCTTCAGCCCCGCATGGGCTCCAGGATGTGGAGCTCCAGGTTTCAGCCCTGGGGCCCCGCAGCCCCCCTGAAACGACTCTCAGACCCCTGGTTAAAAGCCACTGCACTACACCACACTAGAACATGAAATTCACCAGTTAAAAAGCTTTTAAAACTAAATGGTTTAAAATAAAGTTGGCAATAGCATCTTCCTACCTCTATATAACTGATATGACAGAAACAGTCCTGGGTAATTTTATAAATGGAAGAACAGAAAGACTCTCTTCCATTCCCTTTCTTATTTTCAATACCAAAAAAGAGAGCATGCCCAAATAAAAGCAATTACATTTTGGGGGGGGAGGAAAGGGGTCGGGAGGAAGAGGTGAAGCTATATTACAGCAAACAGCAAGAAACTTTCTTAGTTGATTGTCTGGGCTATTCTGACATACCCACATCTCTGATAAAGTTCTGCGGCCTGTGTCCTGTATCCACAAAGTGTTGACAATAATCATTGTGAGGATTTAAGCTCTGGGTTCCCTATAGAAAAAAGGAACAAAAAGGGAGAGAGATGATTCAGGCCATGCACATTTCCAACTGATTTTACATACCACACAGCGAAAAGTTTCTAGCTTACAAAATACTGTTCTGCCTCTTCCTCAACATATCATTCTATACCAGTGGTTCTCAAACTTTTGTACTGGTGACCCCTTTCACATAGCAAGCCTCTGAGTGCGACCCCCCTTATAAATTAAAAACACGTTTCTATATATTTAACACCACCATTATAAATGCTAGATGCAAAGTGGGGTTTGGAGTGGAGGCTGATAGCTCACGACTCCCCATGTAAGAACCTCGCAACCCCCAGTTTGAGAACCCCTGTTCTACACTGTAAAGATTCCACAATACACAAGTTATGTATTACTATAAGTTTTAGCCACTGGCACACGTTCACTGTACTATGGCTTGCTGCAAGCCTGAAACAGGAGAAAAATAGAACAGGCTGATAACCTGCACTCTTGAGTCAGATATTGGCCAAGTGATTCATGAATAATTTAAAGGCCAAGTGTTAATTTCATGTCATCCATAAAGACCCTTCATTAACCTCGTAATCAGAGGCATAAGTTCATCCCATAAAATATTTCAAACCTCTTCAGTTGTCGAGACAGCTTAATGCAACCACATGATGGGAGAGCAATGATTGCAAGGTGCAAAGGTAGCTTACCTTCAGAAAGGTACTGGAATCTTTGTAAATCTCTTCTTCATAGGGCAGGTTCTCTTCATCTTGATGCAGCTCTACTTCATCCTTTGGAATAAAGCAGATTTTATATGCATGTAGGCACATGCTGTTTCTCTCTTCATTATGACTCCGCTTCTTAATGAAGGAAGAAGTGGGCTGTCTATGAATATAAGCCTCCTGCAACAGTAGATCATGAATGTTTCCAATGCCAGTTTCGGAAAAGAAATTTAACTGACATGTTGCCAAAAAGGGCACTCTTTCTCTCATTACTAAGTAGCTTGGGTTACCAACAAGACCTTGAAAATAAGTAACAAGATAAGCAGCATTTATAAAGCACCATAAATATGTGTGGTGCTTTACACAGCACAAAATCATACATGCACTGTCCTGAAGAGTTTACACTCCCTTTTTATCTATACACACTAAAGTAATTTTTTGTGCAGGGGAAACTGGAAAGCTTCAGTAATTCAGACTCCCTCTTGTGAGTTACTGCCCATGCATTAACGAGTCACCACAGTCCATCATACAAGCCAACACATATCTTTAAAAAATGCCTAACCAACAAACAACTCAAAGCTTTTACAAAAAGGGTGACTGGCTAACTGTGGATCAAGAGAGAATGCCACCTTTAAAGAACTGCAAGAAATTTCCTTTCCCTGTAAAGGTAATCATCACGTATGCATGATCCCACCCAAGACTACAAAACTAGAAGGATGCCAATCCAGTACATTCACAATCTAAAGTACAACAGTGTCCAGAGCAGAAGTCGGTTCTGCTCAGTGTATCACTCTCAGCATATTACTTGTGAACACAAGCTCCTGTCACCTGCCCTGTTTAAACCAAATGGGTTTATCGTGCATCTTCAGAGTAACTACACTGGGAGAAAATACAGGACAGTCAACCCTCTCTTTAGTTTCATATAATAATTGAAAACATACAATAAGGGAAAATGGTTAATTTTTTGGTCTTAAAAACAAAAATGGGCCTATTACAGAAATTCACTGGGACAGTTGTTAAATCTTTGAACCTGGGTATCCCTCACCAATTTCCCCCCAGAAGTTATGCCCCTCTTCCCCTGCCCCCAATCTCTTGATTTTCTGTAGTTATTTAAGCCCCATGTCAATGGTGGTCTGCTCACCTAAAGTTGATTGTGGGGTCTAGGCCTTAGACTGCAAGCTCCCCTTGGGAGCAAGGAATGTTTAATTTTTTTGTTCATATGGTTTGCCGAGGCAATGGGACCCCCAAACTGATTGGCTTCTATAACAAAACAAATAGTAAAATAGGCTACAGCAGCTAGTAGCAAGTAGAAGTAGCATCGTGTGATCTATCAGCAGTTCACAGAACACAATTTGAGAAATGCCAATATAAAAATACCTCTCTATTCCTTAAGCCTAGCAGTTAATTTTTTTAAAATGGCACAGAGGAGAAAAAATATCATTGCTACAGACAGGATTTCTGAAACAACAACTCCTGAAACACAAAAAAAACCTGACTTTGTATTCAAAAAGTAGAAGTTGCTCTTTATTTACTTTTACTTCAGTAATGTTAATATGGCAACTAGACATTAGTGAATTATCTACATTACTAGCTAAGGCTCTTCTATCTTAAGCAACGTGATTTCAGTATCAGAAATTCCCAAGTGTCTGGGTGGGGCAATGATTTAGTGCACTACTTCTCATTTCTGAAAAGCTAGGCTCAACCTTGTTTTAGATAACACAATAAGCTTTTTAGTCTCTATTATTCACTTGGCAGATTTTTGTCTGTATAACAAAACCACAACATAATTAGGCATTATTAGCCATCTATGATCACTATAGCTCTCGGAGTATTGCAGGTCCAGACTGCAGTGAGAGATAATCAGGAAAACTTGAATCAGTACTATGGCAAATCAATCTATAACAGGTTTATTAGAGTCATCCCCAAGGGGAATATTCAGTCTAGTGCACGGACATTTTTTTAAAAGGAGTACTTTAACTTTTACATTTAATAGGGATTCAGGCTTAGACCAATGAGCTTGTAAGACTAGACTAAATTAGTAAATTTAACGTGCTCAAGCTAACAATGAAAAATATTAAGCAAAAACAAAGGCCAAAGTTTTATTAGATAAATATCTCCCTGCCCATTAGAAAAATTGCAGCATCTATACAAGACAGTACATTGCTCCATTATAGTGGTTCTATTGGTAATTTCAAGATTCTCATGTTAATAATTAAACATTATACAGGTCCCAAGGATTAGGCTTTATTCGAGTACTTAGCTATTTTCTAAATGCAGCAATACTGTTATAGATTGGTCACCCATTTTAAAAGCAACAGGCTGATTAAGGGTATGTTTTTATGTATTTTTTCAGATGGTACTGATAATAATCTCAGTGTATGAATTTTATGTGATTTGGTCACGTATATATTTTAGAGAGAAATCAATTCAGTTTAACAGAACATACAATAAATAATTGATAATGTCTATATAGATTTGTCAGTTTGTTTTATTCCAATGATACATTCACTGAACGGAGCAAAGAAAGCAAAAATAAAATAAAGTAAACTAAGGTGAGCCCTTGGCATATTTAAAGTATTTTCTTCAGGACATATAGTTAGCTTACTGTACATACATAGATGAACATTAAGCAATTGTTTGAGTGCCTCTCCCAATTCCAATATTATTTATTATTTTTGTGCACCCAAAAGTACACTAAGCATCTCACAAATCAAACATATATTTATTTGACATAATGCAGTGAGGGTCATCGAAAAATAAGGAAAAGGGAGAAGGACAATGGTGACAAGAATAAGATCACAGCTAATCAGTAAGATGCACATATCTTGATAGTCATTTTTTGGCTTAACCTTCTCTATCCATCATTTATCTGATGTGTCAGACATGAATTTTTAGGAAGCACTTAAATGAAATAAAGGAAGTAGGCTGCCACATACGTTTGGGGTAGGTGTCCCAAGAATAAGGGGGAGCATGGAAGACAACTTTTAACCACCATTTCCTTTGTAAAAATATAATCATCCCTGACTTCTCCTAATGTCTTGTTATCACCTTAAACAAGTGGCCCCAGTTCGCCGTTCCCAGCCAATGGGAGCTGCGGGAAGCGGCGTGGGCCGGTCCCCGCGAGGGGCTTACCCTGAACAAGCCGCGAACCAAGTTTGGGAACCACTGCCTTAAACAAAACATAGGCAAAAAACACTCCTGATCTCTCCTCCCAACAAACTCTCTCTTTTGCAATTGCTGAACACACAAACATTCATCCTTCCTCTCATTCAGCCCATACGGTATGGCTCATCTTCAACTCTCTTACCTCACCCCAAACTAATCCTGACACTTTTAAAATCCAATCTATTTTGCTTGTACTACAAAATATTTGTTCTTGGCCAGCAACTCATTTCCCATTTTGGTAACTGCAACCTCTTTCTCTTTGGCCTCTCAACACATACATCACACAATTTCATTTCATACAACTTACTAGTAACATGTTCCTGGCCAATTCCTCTGACTACATCACACCTTTCTTTGAATCTGTCTACTGGTTTGCTCACCCTTTACCACCATACTCACAGGATGGATAAAAATCAATTATTTAAAAAAAAATCAAATATTTTTTATTTAAATCAGATTTTTTTGATAAAATGCTTTTTGAGGAAAAAGCATATCTAAAGATAGTTTTAATTAAGATACATTATAGCTCAAAGATACCTCATCATGGAATAGGGATTATAAATTTTAATTCTATAGTATGAGACAATATAGTCATGTAATGTTTAAGAAAAGAAGAGAGGAGACTAAGGGGGGATATGATAGAGGTTTATAAACTCATGAGTTGTGTGGAGAAAGTGAGAAAGTGAATAAGGAAAAGACATTTACTTGTTCCCATAATATAAGAACTAGGGACCACCAAATGAAATTAATGGGCAGCAGGTTTAAAACAAATAAAAGGAAGTTCTTCTTCACACAGCGCACAGTCAACCTGTGGAACTCCTTGCCTGAGGAGGTTGTGAAGGCTAGGACTATAAAAGGGTTTAAAAAAGAACTAGATAAATTCATGGAGATTAAGTCCATTCATGGCTATTAGCCAGGATAGGTAAGGAATGGTGTCCCTAGCCTGTTTGTCAGAGGGTAGAGATGGATGGCAGGAGAGAGATCAGTTGATAATTACCTGTTAGGTTCACTCCCTCTGGGACACCTGGCATTGGTCACTGTCAGTAGACAGGATACTGCGCTGGATGTACCTTTGGTCTGACCCAGTATGGCCATTCTTATGTTCTTATGTAAAACTTTTGTAAACGAGTTCCAATAGTTCATGGATTAGGGACCCAATCTTATGGGGTTCCACAGGCTTCTCTATAGATTATTTAGGTTAATCTTTCTATCTACCCAATGGGACTCAGTGCTCAGTCTAGAAGATACCATCAGAGATGCTTAGTTTTGCAGTTCTCAAACTGTGGATTTGTGTCTCCAGAGGTAACGTGCTTGTTAACAGAAAAAATGTTTTTAAATAAATAAATATATTGAGGTGAGAAATAACAGAACCTCAACTCTACTGTCCCTCTGCATATCTGTGTACACAGAGTCAATCCCTTACCTCTCTCTAAAAGCATAAAGTTTCAGACAGTTGGGGGCGGAATAGATCTGGACAAGAAGAAGTCTAGAGATAAATGTGAGAAGCGAGGGACACATGCTTGTTTTGTTAAAATAATATACGTTTGCTGCTGAAGAAAAAAATCCAGAATTATTTAACTAAAACAACAACGTTAAGTAAACAATTTAAATGTCTGTCTGGTGATGTTCTCCTCCTAATACAGCATGGCAAGAAAATCCTCCAAATATTAATGATTAACCTGTTGAATTGGAGATAGTTCACCTCCCAATGACTTCAGAAATATCTGCTTCAATTACCTTTGGTAAATGAAATAACCAAACAATCATTCATTTTCTGATATAGCTGTAAAACTAATCTGAAAAGTTTTCAAAATAAATCACTTTAAAAATGTATAGTATGTACCTTCTAAAAATGAAACTTACATCTATCTCTGAGTTATGAAGAATATGTATTATTAAGGTTATAACAACCAACAACAATGCATTTTTATATAGAAAACCATGATTAAATCGAGTCTTCCAACTAGCGATTTAAAACAAATCCACCCTGCATATTTGTCTGTGCTGTCAAGGCC